TCACGGAGTAGGCGAAGGCCGCCAGGCCCAGGCAGCAGAAGTTCATGAAGAGCGCGCTGAACAGGGACCAGACGACGTGGTCGGGCACGGCGGTCTCGGGCTGGATGGCGATCACGGTGGCCGCCCTGGGGGCCGCGCTGCCGGGCGCGCCCAGCACCGCCACCTCGTGCTCCTCCTTGAGCATCTCATAGCCGGGGCGCGCGCCGGGGCGCAGGGGCTGGGGCGCGTTCATGGCCGGGCCTCCGGGACGGCGGGCCGGGAACTTGGATCCTTCCTCCGCTGCAGTTTCGATTTCTCTTGAGTTTCCTTTTCCTGGCATTTGGGGGTTTGGAATTGGCCGAGAGCTGGAGTGGGGGGGGCCCGAGAGTCGGGTTACACTGGGCGGGCCCACAGGGGGGGGTTTCCTGTCCCAGGCGCTCAGGGGCTGGTCCCCGACGGCCCCTCCCTCCCCGGGTTAGGGCTGTGGGTGGGCCCTGGGGGCCTTGCCCTGCCTGCATCCCCTGCGCCCCCAGGTGCCCTCCCAGGGGGCCCAGAGCTGCTGGACCCCCACACAGCCACCTCCAGCCCCAGGTGGGTCTGCGCCAGCCCCAGCCCTGGCCCCGAGGGGTGCTCTGGTGGGCAGGACGCCTGGGTGTACGGCCAGACGCATGCACATGGGCCGCTGGCCAGGAAGGGTGTCCGAGTCTCTTGGGGTTTCAGTGGGTCCGGGTCACCCTGACAGGTGGCCTGTGGTGGAAGCTGATGGCCACCCTCCCTTGGGCCATGTGGAGGGAGCTCAGGCCCTTTTGGGAGACATGGGTGGGGGTAGAGGCGTGGCCTCGGCCCTGAGCCCCCAGGTCAAGGCTCTGATGGAGGCTGAGGACAGAAAAAATGGAAAGGAGCTGGCACACAGGGCCACGGGCCAGACTGCACAGCTATCCTCAGGGACAGGAACCGGGACTCAGCCCTGAGGCCCAGCACAAAGCACAGACCAGGGGTCAGGCACTGCCGTGGTCCAGCGGGGGGGGGGGGGGCTCGGGGGGAAGGGAGGCCTGGTGGCCAGTGCAGAGAGCGGGCCCTTCCAGATGCTACATGGCCTACTCAGTTGACGACTAACAGGCCTCTCCTGAAGAGGGCCCCCCACGAGGGCCCCCCCATGAAGGAGGGTGTGTCAGCCTGCAGCCCTCCCGCACCCCCCTGCCCTCACCTGCACCCGCGAGGGCTTCTGGTCACAGAGCACTAAGCCACAGACCTGCAGCCACCAGGCCTCTCAGAAGCCTGCCCCTTGGGGCGGCTCTTCCTGCCCGCTTGTGTCCACGCAAGTGTCCTTTATTCTCTGTCCCTTCCCTTAATAAACCTGGTCTTTAAATAAAACTTGTCTGGGAAACTCACTGGTGCCGCTGAAAGGGGAGCTCTGGGGTCACCTTTCCTGGGGTGAACCCGAGGACCCCATTCTCTAAACCCAACTCCAAAATCGACATCTGCTCCATGCAGTTTTATTACAATTTGAAATGTGGCAGTGACCCCAAGGCACATGAGTCCTACGGGTGGCCATAATTAGGCAGCTTCAGGGACCCAGAGCCGCAGGCCACAAAGCCCAAAGGGGCCTCATCAAACACCCCGGGGCCAGGGGCAACAGGCCCTTCTAGAACAAGGACAGTAAAAGGACTCTAAGATGTGGCCGGACACAGAGCCCCAGGGCCACAACAGGGGTCCCCAGGAAAAGGGGAGGTTCCAGGTCCCCGCCCCACCTGGGGTGTGGAGCTGAGCAGGGAGGAGGATCTGAGACTGAGGGGGAGGCAGGATGGAGCCGGCAGGAGGCTGAGGGGCACAGGGGCAGAGCCCGCGGGGAAGCGGCTCTTGCTTCGCGTCCCGGAGGGGGGGACACAGACCGGGGGCGAGGCCGGGCAGGAGTGACAGTGACAGTGGCGGCGTCTCTCTGGATGTGGATGTCGCGCTTTTCCTCCCAGCCTCGTCTGGCCGTGTGCCGGCCCCTTTCTGTGGGTCCCCTCCAGAAGGGGCTTTAGACTGGAGCCCGGCCTTGCTCTGTGGTGTTGTTTTTTGCAGTTGATGGGTTTGGAGTGTGGGGCCCCTGGGTCCACCCTGGGACAGGCGTCCCCAGAGCGCCTCTCCGCAGCACTGGCGCGTTCCCAAGCGAGTCTGTCCACGAGACAGAGACTTAGTTATATTGTAAGAGCAGCTCACTAGGGAAAGGACAGAGGAGTAAAGGCTCCTCATGGGCACCAGCGGGCAGGGCCCTGCCCGAAGGGACAGGCCCGCGAGAGGCCTGCGTGGTCGCAGGGGCGGCCTAGGAGAGCGGCCTCCGCCGAGCGGGTCAGTGCAGAGAAGCCCCGGCGGGCAGGAGGCCGCTGCCCTGCGGAGGGGCGGGCGGGGGGACACCTGCGTGGGCACAGGTGGGCAGGAGGCGGCCCCGGGCAGGCAGGGACGGCCTGACACAGACCCCTTCTCTCTGGGAGGGGCTGCTGCCCTGACCTGGGTTTGTGGGCTTTGAATAGAATCCCACCGGGCCCCTCCCCAGCCCTGTGCCTTTCACCTGCCGGTTTGCCATAGGCAGCCTAGGGCGTCCGCCCCTGCTTGGCTCTCGCTCTGTCATGGGACCTCGGCGTCCCGGGCCTGGGCTCCTGCTCGATGGCTGGCCGCTCCCTCTGCCCCAGCCCCCCCCCCCAGTCTCTTGGGAAGCGGGAAAGGGCGGCCCCCAGGAAGAAGGGGAAGTTCCAGGTTCCCTGCCCCACCCTGCCCCACCCAGAAGGAGGGTGGAGCTGAGCAGAGAAACAGGAGAGAAGAAGAGAAGGAAGCAGGATGGAGCCAGAGGAGACCGGAGGGAGCCCCACCCAGCAAAGGGAGGCATGTGGAGAGGCCTGTTGATTTCCTGGCCCTGCACTCGTGGAAAGGGATGCAGGCGAGAGGCCCGCGGGCAGGTGGCTGTGGCCGTGTTTCTATTGATTTTGATGTTGCTCTTTTCCTCCCAGGCTTGTCTGGCCATCTCTGACCCTTTCCTATGGGTCCAGAAGGTGTTTTACTCTGCGGCAGCTCTCAGGCCTTGCTCTGGCCAGTCCCTCTGGGGTGGACTTTTGCCCACGAGGGGACGGGTAACTCAGGTGTTTGATTTAGATGTTATATTCTTTGTCTTCCGTGTTGTAGACTCACTGTATTAAAGTTCCTTTTCATTAAAGTCTTATATGTTTTGTCTTGATGCGGCGGATGACAGAACCTATTTAGAACGGGCAGGTTTGGGGGCTCGGGGGTGCCCCCTCTCCCTGCCCTGTAACAGTTACACCCACTGGATGCCTCATGGGCCGCTCTGGGTGGGCACTGACTTGCCCTCGCTCCATGGAGGCCACCCCAGGTCCAGAGCGGGAAATGGGGGCAAGTGAGGGCCAGGCCAGAGGGGTGAGGAGACCCTGGAGAGTGGGGAACAGAACAGGGGGCTCTTGACGCTCCCCAGGTGCAGCAGCAGCCAGAGGAGTTGTGCGGGAGAGCGCCTGGGCAGCCGGCGGCCTCAGAGCCCTTCACACAACGGCACTGACACGGATCCAGGTGCAAGCTACAAGCTGACTGGGGCTGAGGGCCCAGGTGAAACAGGGCCGCCAGGAGGAAGGGCAGGAGGGGAGGACCCAAGGGCCACCCACCTGCTCGGGCCCTGAGAACAGAGAGCTGCTGAGAAGCCCCCAAGGGCCAAAAATTAAAGCAAGGGCTGTAGCCTAACAGGGGAATGCCCAATAAGGGGACAGGCCAGTCTGCAGGACTCCCCCGCACACAACTGCAAGAAACACAGCCATGGGCTTCAGAAGCCCACTGGCAGGGAGACAGAGCTCACTGTGGCCACAGTTCACGCTGCTTCACCCACCAGCAGGCGACCAGACCACGCAGCACCGGCCAGGTGGGAGGTCCCCGCCCAGGCGTGGACGCCAGCCCTCAGCTCCATGGGGGGGGGGGCAACAGCAGCCCTGTGAGATGCCAGGCTGGTGCCAGAGCGATGGACCGAGAGCCCTCCCTGCAAAGGCCGTGGGCTCTGCTCCCTCCTGGGAGGTTAGCGGCCACTGGATGCCGTTTAGGTCTTTCTCCAGCGGGGCTGGGCTGGTGTCACCTTGTTAAGGGGCAGGATGTCCTAAAGGAACGCTGCAGAGTCTTATGGACACCCCCCCACCCCGGCTCCAGTGATGGGAAACTACAACTCCCAGCAGCACCAGGGAGAGAGCTGCGAGGACCCCAGGGCGGAGCTAGCGGGAATTCTGGGACCTTGGGAGGATAAAGGGGCGCGGTTGCATCTCTGGCCCTCCCGCTGGGGAAACGGCTCTCCGGACAGCCTGACTCGTGTGGTCAGCCAGCCAGCCGCCAGGTGTCCCAGTGACTTTGCATCCCGCTCTCTCACCGTGGGTTGTTTCCTGTTCCTTTCCCCTTTCGTAAGTAAGCCCATTATTGACCCTTTTTGTGTGTTACACTTGCGGTATAACTGAAGCGTGAGCGCGCGGGTGAGGCCCCACAGACAGGCGGCCCAGTCCAGCTGGGCTACCCTGTAACAACCTCTCCCGCTCACCTGCCCAGGGATACAGTGTAGGTAGCTGCTCAGCCCCGCAACACTGGCTTATATCCGCTCTCGGGAGCCCCGCCCACAAGTCTGATTGGAGCATTTTTCAATCCCGTGTCTGATTGGGCCATTTACCTCAGGCCTAGCATCTGATTGGCCCCTCCCTCAATCCGGGAAGTGCTGACTGGTGAGAGGCTGGGTGGGTCCTGGTAGTGGAAGTCTGATTGGACCATTTAGTACCAATCAGCTGATAACTCGCACCTGATTGGTCCATTCCAAGAGCCAAGCAATAAACTGTTACATAAAAGGGTTGAGTGATACCAGAACCAGCCCCTGAGCAGCCCCTGTTCTTTAAACATGTGGCTCTACCACCCGTGGACTGTGGCCATTCCTCCTCAGAGCACAGTAACTGCCTTGTTGTGGCCTGTGGCCCTTGCCCCTCAGAGCCCTCCTACGGCAGGCGCACTTCCCGGATTGCGGAAGGGGCCAATCAGGTGCTAGGCCTGAGGTAAATGGCCCAATCAGACGCGGGATTGAAAATGCTCCAATCAGGCTTGTGGGCGGGGCTCCCGAGAGCGGATATAAGCCAGGGCACCGGGCGCTGAGGGGAGAAGTCACCAGAGCCAAACCCAGAGAGGACCCCAGCTTCCCGAGAAAGAAGGGGAGGACTCTTCCTGGCCTCCAAGGAAAGAGAAAAGAAGTGTCCAGCTGTGACCTCCAAGGAGAGAGGCTGAGACCTGCAGGGACTGGACCTCAGTGGCATGAGCCATGCCACTCACGCTGTCAGATGAGGTCCGCAAGCGAGGGCCACTGCTAAAAGGTCAGTCAGGAGGCTCCAAAGCTGGCTCCGGCTGGGTCCTTTTATTTTGTTTTGTTTTTGCTGCTTCTGTAACTGTAACAATTTCTACGCTCCGCACTTGAACGCATTTGATGAAGTCAAAAGTGATTTTACAGTTGGCGTTTTTTATGAAAACAATTGGCTGTTACAGTTAAGTCAATATTGCAAAACAAGGCGGTACCAATGACATGTTCTGAAAATAACTGCGCGTTCTTCCTGCTTGGGCTAATACCTCCAGTTCCATCGGTGCACAATCTTCCAGACGTAAACACTAAATCAAGCTCCGGAAAAAACTTTGGGAACCAAAAACCTTAAGCCTTTGCTGCTGAGCCTTCAATGAGAAACTCCACGGCCCCTCGTTTAGGGAGAGATTTGAGTCCAGTGAACTTTTCCACTCCCGGCCTCAGCTTCCCTTCCCTCTCTTCATGCATAGGATGCTTTGGGGAGGATGAGGGCCCTCTGACAGTCATGAGGGCTAAAGGTTTTCCTGTAACTGCATGCCAGGCCCAGACCGAGGAAGTACGACAGATTAGACCCCAGTTTTTCTCTCCCTGATTCTTCAGTCATACAAGGTCCCCTTTGCCGTGCTCATAGGCCACAAAAAACTGCACTGGCATTTCCCTGAACTTAGATCTTTTGACATTTAGTTAATCTTTTACCGTGGTAAAAATAGAGGCGATTGTTTTAATTATGTGAGTTCATAGGCCTGCTTTAACGTTCATGAAGTGCTTGGCCAGCTGTACAGAAGAATGATCATAATGAGAACGTTTTGCTTGTGAGCTATGTTTTCCTTAAAAAATGATAAATGCCACAACCCTGGCTGGAGGTCAGAAAGACCCCGCGCTGTCTTCTGGAAAACCTGATTGTCATCTCTCTGCTCCGTGCACACGCTGGTGTGCTCCCCACTGGCTAACATGTCAGTAAGAACCGCCGAGGCTATCAGCAGGGGACACGTGCCCTGGTCGAGTGTCCCCTCATTGCTCTTCGCCGACACTGTCTCTTCCTGCAGGGACCTTGCCCGACCTCGGCTGGAGCTGGCCTCTGGCGCCTCAGTCCTGCCTCCCGCTCAAGGAGGCCCAAGGCCCAGGGCCTGGCGTCTCAGATTGCTGAGTGTGGTGGGTGCTGGCCAGCCTCCCACGGAGAGCCGGGACACTGGGCGTCTCTGACACCGCCCCCGAGGAGCCAGCAGTCCCGCACAGTAGACCGCCACACTGGCCAGTGCTGCCCAGCATTCCCGTTGTTGAGCATCACGGACGCGACCCAAGTGAGGCAGCCGCCGTCTGCGGACTCAGTGAGCCCTCTGTCTCCCCTCTCTGTCAGATAAACCCATGTTGCTGCTGGAGCCTAAGGTTTCTTGCGGTTGTATGAGGGTGAGACGAGACCCACAGACGGACCTGTCCTCTTTTTGGGCCCTGCCCGTTCTTAGGCTACAGCCTTTGCTTTTCTTTTTGTTTGGAAGATTTTTTTTTATGCACACAAGAACTGGGGTACAGGCCAGAGGTCTAGGGGTGAGAGGATCCCCCAGAGACAGTGGGGACCTGCTGAGACACACTGTTGAGGGGACAGTGGAGGGACAGGAGGGGTCTGCTGTACCCTGGGGTCCCCCGGCCGGGCATGGACTCTCGAGGCAGCGGCTGCCTGCCGCACCACCAGGAAGGGCCTTGTTTCCCTTTGTGGCCTCTTAGAGCCTTCCACGGCCCTCTGGTCTCAGACCCTGGGCAGGTGGGTGGCGGTCCCCTCCAGTCTCCTGCCCTGTCGGCCCCTTCCAAAAGCCGGTGTCGCAGCCAATTTTACAAGATAAGGGGACGCTAGGTGACCGACAGAGCAAGCCCTGGGCGAGCCAGAGGGAGGCGAGTTCTCGGAGCCGGGCCTGCTTGGAGCCGGGGCTGCGGCCAGCTCCCAGCCCTGCGGCTGCCCGGCAGAGGGCGCAGCGAGCGCGTGTGGTCGGCCAGCGGGCCTGTGCGGGCCGGGCCGTGCTGAGGCGAGTGCTTTTGGCCATGGGCCAACCGGTCTGTCGTTGGGGTTACCCTTTGGCATGTGCCTGCATGTGGACTTTCCATCAGATTTGGGGACTGGTTGGTTTTCATTTTTCAGAAGCTCATCTGGCACTTCCTTTCTCCAGCTCCACATCCTGGAAGCTGACAGGCCCCAGGGGGACCTGGCCACAGGCCGCAAGGGGGACGGCCCCAGGGGGACCTGGCCTCGGGGCCTTACCTGAAGGCGCCGTGACTCTGGGCACAGCTCAGCGTGCATCTGCAGCCCTGGAAAAATTTGCTGCCACCTGGCACTGGCCTTTGTGGCGGTGACCCCTCTCACAGAGGGGCTCCCCACTCTCTCCAGAGGCCAGGGAGGGCTGCGGGGGCGGGGGGAGGCAGATGCCACCCCGTCACGCCCCCACCGCCCCAGGGTGAGTCTTCAGAAGGAAGCTTTGAGCAAGACAAGCCAGCGCCATCCCAATAAACACATTTTGGATTTTAAAAAAGGGTGCAGCTCCCCCCCCCCATTTATTGCTGCTCTATTCACAATCGGAAGGACATGGAGTCAGCCCAAATGCCCAAAAGTGGGTGCCTGGATAAACAGATGCGGTGCACATACACGCTGGAATATTTCTCGGCAGCCGAAAGGATAAACTCGGGCCTTTTGCAGCAGCATGGCCGGAGCCGGGAGGGATGGTGCTGAGTGAGACGAGCCAGAAAGAAAAGGGAAAACACCGGATGGTTCGCTCATGGCAGGAGCATAACGGAGCAGGCGGGAAAACAGAGATAGTGACGAACAGCTGCAGACCAGAGACATTTTGTGGGGTGCAGAGGGGATGGGGCCAGAACCAGCGGGGGTGGGGGGGAGGGACATGCGCCGGCCTGTGTGACGCACAGGGGGATGTGGTGTCGGGAAGCCCAAGGGGATTGCAACTGAGATGGGAAATGCACAAGACGATGGAAACATAAACTATTGTATTACTGTAAAAAAAACAAAAAGGGCGCAGCACCGGAAGCTGGCCCAGCGGCAGAGGCTTCCGGACTGGCCTGGTGCGCTCCCAGGGGGGGGGGGGGGGGGGGGGGGGGGGGGGGGGGGGGGGGGGGGGAGGAGCCCAGGCCCCTGTCAGCCCGCCCACCACCAACCGCAGGGCAGCTGCGCGGTGCCGCAGGGGCCGCCTGGAGGTGCAGGGCCGCACCTGGGCACAGCCGGCCTGAGCCCGCGGGGAGGCCACTGCTCACAACGGCAGGCTGAGTACGCCGAGGCCCTCAAACGGGAGGGCTGCTCAAAGGACACGGTTGTCAGGATGAAGGTAGTGAGGAGGGACCCCAGAACCTCGTGCTGGGCAGGCGCGCCAGGACACACGGCCACGCGGGAAGCTGAAGTGCCAACGGGCGTCGGGCAGGGAAGGGGGCCGGCTGCCCCTGAGGAGGCCCAGGCCAGGGCCTCAGCACAGGTGCAGGGGCGGCGGCGTGATGCTGGCTGGAGGCCAACAAATGACCACAGGGCAGTGCAGGTGCCGGCGCCCTGCAGGCCGCACGGAGGGCCGTCCGGCTCTCCGCAGGCCTGGCAGCTCCCTGCAAGGTTGGGGGCACAGGTGCCCGGGCTCAGAATGGCCACAGGAGGGGCATGGCAGGTCCGACAGTAGCCTTTTGTTTCCCTTATCAACTCGAGCGAGGCTTTGTGCCCCATCCCTATGGCAACATCCTGTCCTACGCTGGGTCCCTCTAATCCCTTCAAGCTACCCAAACTGGCCTGGGGAGCAAAGTGCAGGGGCTGACTTTTCACCCTCAGTGTCACCCCCAAAGGCAGGGAGCCCCTCCCGGTGAGCCACTTCCACCACGCTCTAACCAGGCCCCTCAGGGTGGTCAAGGAGGGTCCACACAGGAGTGTCCACTACTAGGAGCACAGTCCAGGCCCTTGTCCACCTTGCCACAGAGGACCTGGATGGGCCTGTCCTTTCCTGACCACCCAGGAGCCCTACCTGTCGGGAGTGACCAAAGAGTCACTGACAAGGACTGAATCAGGGCGGTAACGGGGCGCGCATCCAGACGCGCGTCATCAAGGACACGGCGCCGAGTCGCCCCTTTGGAATCTGAGCTTAGGATCTACATAGGAGGCCCTTCCCCCTTATTGGGGGGCAGTAGCTGCGGACCCCACCTAGGGCCTCCGTCTCCGCTGCTGCCCGGGAGCAGTAAACTCTACCCGGACAAAACATTACCCACCAGAGCACCCCTCGGGGCCAGGGCTGGGGCTGGCGCAGACCCACCTGGGGCTGGAGGTGGCTGTGTGGGGGTCCAGCAGCTCTGGGCCCCTGGGAGGGCACCTGGGGGCGCAGGGGATGCAGGCAGGGCAAGGCCCCCAGGGCCCACCCACAGCCCTAACCCGGGGAGGGAGGGGCCGTCGGGGACCAGCCCCTGAGCGCCTGGGACAGGAAACCCCCCCCTGTGGGCCCGCCCAGTGTAACCCGACTCTGGGGGGGCCCCCCCAGTCCCTCCCCCAGCTCTCGGCCAATTCCAAACCCCCAAATGCCAGGAAAAAGAAACTCAAGAGAAATCGAAAACTGCAGCAGAGGGGAGGATCCAGGTTCCCCGCCCCGCCGTCCCGGAGGCCCGGCCATGAACGCGCCCCAGCCCCTGCGCCCCGGCGCGCGCCCCGGCTACGAGATGCTCAAGGAGGAGCGCGAGGTGGCGGTGCTGGGCGCGCCCGGCAGCGCGGCCCCCGGGGCGGCCACCGTGATCGCCATCCAGCCCGAGACCGCCGTGCCCGACCACGTCGTCTGGTCCCTGTTCAGCGCGCTCTTCATGAACTTCTGCTGCCTGGGCCTGGCGGCCTTCGCCTACTCCGTGAAGGTGCGCGGCGCGCGGGGCGGCGCGGGGGGCGGCCGGGGTGGGCGCG